GCGGCCACCCCGCAGCACCGGGGACAGCCCCTTACCCGTCGTGTCACCGAACCTGGACCATCGCCCACTTACAGAGAGAGCAAGCCCAGCTGTCCGGCCCCAGACTGATCTCCAGGTCAAGGTCTGGGGCGCCTCAGGGCTGCTCTCTCTGCAGGTGGACACCAGCCCACCCCTCCTGCGCTGGTTCATCTGCAGGTGTCCCCGACCCTGCCCCCAGCTCATGTGAGTCACGTGCTGAAGCCGGGCCTACCTGCTGGGTGACCTGGAGCCGCTGTACTGGGAGGACAGAGAGGGGCTGTGGGAACTGCCACTGCTATGGCGATGGCACCTCCGGCCTGGGGACTCCGTGTGAGGCCTGGGGTGGGAGGGGGAAGCCGCCTGCATCCAGTCTGCCCGCCCTGGTCCCTGGGGCCAGCCTTGCCTGCAGGGATCCTGGGACATGGGGCCTGATGCAAGGATGACCCATCCCCTCCTGGGTCAGAAATGACCTAAAAGGTTTGGTGCTGGGGACAGAGCCCAGCTGGTCCCTATGGGTCACTGAGGGAGGATTCCTCTAGGCAGCCCCAGTCAGCCCTCATCACCCCTCACCGGGCACCCTGGATACTGGTTTGGGGGGACTAGGGGGGAGGGCAGGTGAGTGACAAGGACGGAACTTGAAAGAACCCTGGATCGGGAGGCAAGAGGCCTGGGTTCTGGTTCCAGCTCTGCCACTGGCTCATTGAGGGCTCCCGGCTTCCTCTCGGCCTTAAATGTTCCATCTGGACAAGGGGGGATGCAGTGAGCCTCTGTGGCCTGAGGCTAAGACCATAAAGGCCAGGCTTGCTGTGAGGGGGCAGGAGCAGGCGAGCAGGGCTGGAGAGTGGGGAGGGCACTCACCTCTTCCTCTCTTTGTTCTTTTCCTTTCTTTTGCTCTTGGGGCTTCGAGATCTGCAAGAAGCAAAGATGGCAGTGATGTGGGGTAGTCTCAGCAGGGCAGGGGATGCCGCGGCCTGCACCCAGCTGTGGGCCTGGCCTTTGTTCCTTTCTGGGGCGGGCAGGGACTTGCCCCAATCCCACCCCCCACTGCTTTGGTGCCTTTCGTATGATTCCTTCCTTCTGTGAGTCCTGGCCCACGAGCATCTCCTGCCTGCGCCCCAGATGCTGCTCCCTCAAGGAGTACTGTGGGTGTGGGCCAGGCACCGGAGGTCCAGCCTCAGGTGTGGGCCAGGCAGAAAGGGTCTTGGCACAGGGTCAGCAGTGCTGAGATGGCCCCTCCACGCCCCATTTGTGCCTCCCCTGCCGCCTGCCCTTAGCCTGGGGTCCAGCCCCTGGCCAGCTCACCAGGCTGGAAGTTTAGGGAGGAAATACTTCCACTTGCACTTGATTTCTCTGCTTTTGAGGGACTCTGGATCCATATCTCCCCCAAAACGTCCCACCCACCAGCTGTCTGGGGGCGGGCTCCTCAGCCTGCCTCCCGCCTTTGATGAGAGGATCGAGAGCTTTGAATTAGGCCTCCGAGGCCTCCCCCCAGCTCCTAGCCCTGTCTGTGTCGCAACCCTGTCCTCCCCCACAGCGCCATGTTCCTCCCGCGCATCTGACCCTCAAGCGAAGCAATGCTCGGGAACTCTGAGTGTGCCCCCCGGGAGGGACAGCAACCACACTGCCTGCTTTTTATTCTGCAGCTGACTTAGCCTCAGCTCACTTCTAGGTCCTTTTGGGTACTGATGGGAGCTGGGTGGATGGTCTGTGCATGCTGATGGTGGCCACTAGGGGGCAGCAGGAGCCCATAGGCCTGAGAAGGTTGTGGTGGTGGTGGTAGGGTTGGGACAGGGGAGTATTGGCAGGGCTGGTTCCCATGATAGGTAAAATACTGCTGACTCTGCCCCTCCTCAGGGCTGCTGGGAGGACTCTGGCCCTGATGCCAAGGTTAGGGTCACGACCCACAACCTCCTCTGTTTAACTTTTTACCCCTCAGCCTCTGTTTTCTTGACCTGGGCTCCTGACTCTTCCCTCCCCCAGTCTCCCAGAGCAAGTCACTGTCCTGCTTGGAGTTCCATGCTGGCTCCCAGCCCTGCCTGGGTGGAGGCCAGCTCCAAGGCCTGGCAGTCAGGGCTGTGGGGGCTGGCACCTGTTCCCACCCACCAAAACTCCACCGCTAGCCCGAGCCCACCCTGTGTGCTACCCACGGAGCCTCCCAGCTCACAAGGTCCTCCTGCCTTGGCCCTGCAAATTCAGGGTCTGATGCTTCCTCCTCCTCAGCCGACTCCTCCACAGACGCCCTTGAACCTGAACCTGCCGAGTTGTCTGAAGTTCTAGGGGTTCCCCCAACGGAGGCTGGGCCAGGCAAGGGTTGCCAAGAGTGAGTCTTGGTGCTCCTCCCCTGCCATGGGTCCTCCCCCCTCTGGAACAGCCCCTGGCGTCGGGGGACTGGGCCTCCCAGTGCCTGCCCATCACTCTGTCCCCTGGGGGCCTCGGTCCACATCCTGCACGGAACACCCCTCACCTGTGCCGCCTCTTCCTCCTGGACCCAGAGTTAGACCTGCAGGGCGATACAGGAGTTCTCTTGAGCCTGCCTGGGGTGGCCCGAGGGCACAGCCCTGCTCCTGTTCCCCGCGTGGGGAGGATGGGCAGCCAGGGTACCTGTCTCGGCGGTGCTTCTTCACACTCTTCTTCTTCTTGCGCAGGGGTGAGGAGCTCCCACAGCTGTGGACACAGGGGGGCCCTAGTGAGCTGGCGAGGGGATGGGCGCAGCTGGAAATGGTCCCTGCCCCGAGGCACCGCGCCTTCTGCCTCTGGAGGGGAGCCTGGGGCTCTCTCCCACCCCCAGGCCCTCCCACCTCCGGCCTGGCTGCGCCCAAGTGGCACTGACCTGCATTCAGATTCTGGTCTCCTCTTTTTTGCTGAGGGCCGATGCCAGGGA